GGTAGAGGAAACTACCTTATATGGATATTGTTGCGATTTCTCACAGAGGTGCTCACAGTAAACAATGATCCAAACCAGTGAATGAGCCGAAAAACATGATGGTCTACTACATGTTTATTTCTACTACAAACATTTGGGTCAGGGACATTTAGAAAAATCACCTAACAATCTTTTGAAATGTATAGTATTTATGAAAAATACGAAGTTTAATTAGGTACTAAGTAAGATTCTCCATGATCACATTAACAAAGAATGTCAGTTTTCCATATTAAATAGTACTTTGAAATACCGCTCACAAAGTCTTCACATGTAAATAAGACTCAAGTTTTTTAACTCGATATTGGTGAATTTGCCATGTAACTAGTTTAATTAGTTGTTGCTCAGTTATTTGTTACTACAAATTAAAGTTGCACTAAAAAACTTAAAGTTGCACTGATTTTTTTTAATTTACCTGTTATATGAATTATCATATACATTGATCATAGAACGTGAGTTGCATATATTTTGAAATTGTATACGTTGTAAACATTGACAATACGTGCACGTGACCACACCTCAGAGTTGATTGATTTCGGACCAAGAAATAGTCACATGAAATTGACTTTCCACTGACAGTACAGCACGGTGAAATCTGTCAACAAACAGACTTGTACATGTACAATGGAGTGGGGGAAATTCTAATTATTTTCATTGTAAACCATTTGTATATATATGTGAGCATAGAATTAGTGGTAATTGATGTTCTTATTGTATTAAGGAGGCTAGCGGGTCAACACATTATTTTTTTTATTAACCACCAGATAAAACTTTTATTTTTAGATAAGATATCTTGAACTGTCAACTATCATTTGGCAAAGAAAATAATCATGAATTTTAGTTTTAAATTTTGATCATTTTGTTATATCTTTACATGGAGTTCTTCTTCTAAAGGAGATCAAAATAGTCTAAAAATGGCCGCGACCACCCAGTTTCTTTCAAGGTATCACACCGGTAATTGTTTTCACTATATAATTCTATATAGAATAAAAAATCGTTAAAAATCAGGTATTTGTTTACATGAAAAAATAATTAGCAGGAGGTGTTAAACATTACCTGTCACATTAGCTGACACCAAAAAACAGGGTACCCACACGGCATTTTCGGACTTTTTCCATCTGCAAACACGGCTACCCTCAAATCCATGTGTTTTCACTGTGTTTATAAACACCTCGAGTGCACTACAGGAAGTACCCTCCTATGCCATGAAAAAAATAGTTCCTGTCCAAAACCTTTATTTATTCACAAAGTACATAAAATTTACTAGGCACAGGTACCAAAGTTGTAAAAATGGCATGGAAGAAAATAGAAAAACGCTTCAAAAGAAAAGAAAATTAATTCTATATTATATGGACCTACATTTGACTAAGTTCATTTTGATTGGTCAATTACCGGTGTGATACCTTGAAGGACCTTTGAAGGTGTTCGATTTTTTCCATTTTTGCACCTGAGATTCATTAAATAATTGTCCCCAACATCCCTAAGTCTGTTGATCTAAATCCCCTTATTTCTGAAGATATGAAGCATTTATCTCCGTTACTCCAGAGCAGTCAAGAACAACACACACAGCTCTCTGGAAGCAGTCATTTGTGCATCTTTTGAAGCAGAATTTCATCATTAAATGAATCAGCTTGGCAACCAATTTTTTTTATCTGTGGAGAGTATATGCTTTGTTCTTCACAACAAACAGAAAAGAGTTTACAAGTCTAAGACCATTATGTAATTATTACATAACAAAGTTGCATTTTCCCCTTCAAAGAATGAACAAAAATACAGAAATTGTTAAATACTGGGTTGATAATGAAAACTGTATCTGGTCAATCTATGTTCCAAATAAAGCCTAGGTATGTGTCTACAAGCTGCTGTGCAGAAGTTTATCTAAATGCAGTGTTGTAACTCAGGGCAGTCAAAATGATATCAGCATCTAGGGAGGTTCTTCACAGCTCCCACACTCCATTAAACTGGCTTTGATGATAAGAAACTGGAGACAACAATTCAGATGTAATTTATTGTTGTGATTTATGCAACTGGCGTTCTCTTAAGACACAAATTAGCCATGAAATTTCAATTTAACATGCATAATTATTCTCTTTTCATGGATTTACTCAGGAATTCCAAAGGTGTTTAATGAATTTCCATGATTTATGCAAGATTATATCTTTTTGTTTCAACAAATTGACATAAAAAATAAACATTTTAATTTTAAAATATAAATATTAAACATTTTAATGATTTTGAACACTTTTCTATGAGACAAAATGCATCACAGAGACCAGATTCAGGACATCCTCCATGATTCTTTGAGGTGGGTGGGTGTACAAAAACTGCTGATAAAATTTATAGGAAGTGATCTGAGAAGAAATGTGCACCTTATTAGCTGAATTATAGTTATTCTGATATTTCAATTATGTAAATATGCCAAATTTCTTCATCAGTTAAATTTGGAATTTATTAATATTTCAGTACAATGATATACTTAATAGATCATGCTCATATAAGCATCACTGACTGAGACTTAATTCAAAAGTGACAGTCAACACCTACATATAAATGAAAAAATAACAAAAAACAGTCTCCGACAAACTGAAAAACATGAATGTCAGCTGCGAAAGCATAAATAAAGTCCTAAGAACCACAAGAGGCATGCCATGGTGCTAAGTGACATTCTGCACTACATGTATGATGCATGATTAGAACTCAGAATAAGTATTATCATGCAGACCTTGACAGTATTTCAGGATTTTTTGGTCATAACCTTCCTTACTGTGAAAAATTCTTAATGAATTTTACTTACGTAGCTTATGTATTAAGTTTATTAGACAGATCTGACTCATTTCATTATTTCTGTTCTTCCAATGCAGTAATGTATGTATCACTGGAGGTCTGAATAAATTAAAATAAATCATGTGTCTTTAGAAATTATCATTCTGTGAAAACATTTTTACTTGTTTACATTTTATCGCAGTTGTCGCTTGTGCTAAAAATTCATTCGCAAACCTAGAATTAGTCTATTCTTGAAAAATCAGCTTTAACACCCTTTACCGCAAAGTCTGTAGACACTATAATTGACTGCGGTCAGCTGGTGCAAATAATGTTAAGTCATATAAAATGAAAAAACCATATTCTCTGACTTCTTTCCAAATTTTAGATGCATAATGCAACCTTTTTAGTCATATTTTAAAGTATTGAGTCAGAGTAAAAACTAACCTATTGTTAATTTTTAAACAGAAATCTGTGAAAAATAATGTAAATTCTAATTCTAATTTTAAAATTGTGTGTTTTGAAACAAAAAATTAATAAAATCACATATTTTGTTGAAATATGCCTTTTAAAAATGAAAAATGTCTTTAATAAGGATTAAAATGATTTTTCATAATCACCTTCAAGGTATCACACCGGTAATTGTTTTCACTATATAATTCTATAAAGAATAAAAATTCGTTAAAAATCAGGTATTTGTTTACATGAAAAAATAATTAGCAGGAGGTGTTAAACATTACCTGTCACATTAGCTGACACCAAAAAACAGGGTACCCACACGGCATTTTCGGACTTTTTCCATCTGCAAACAGGGCTACCCTCAAATCCACGTGTTTTCACTGTGTTTATAAACACCTCGAGTGCACTACAGGAAGTACCCTCCTATGCCATGAAAAAAATAGTTCCTGTCCAAAACCTTTATTTATTCACAAAGTACATAAAATTTACTGGGCACAGGTACCAAAGTTGTAAAAATGGCATGGAAGAAAATAGAAAACGCCTCAAAAGAAAAGAAAATTAATTCTATATATATGGACCTACATTTGACTAAGTTCATTTTGATTGGTCAATTACCGGTGTGATACCTTGAGTAGGTAAAATGCTTGAAAAAATGAATCACGTTTTTCTGAGAGCGACTTAAAAAAAATTTGCCTTTTCGAAACACATGCACGTATAGTATTTTTTGTAGTAACCCATAATGCAACTTATTGAGCTGATTGGTTGATTTGTCAGTCACTTTGGTTCCTCACTTAACATGTAAAATTATTCCGACGTCACAGGAAAAAAAAATTCCTCGACCTGTTGAACGGCATAGATGTGTTCAGTCATATTGACAAGAAAACACCGTCAGCTAATGTAGATTTAATTTCAATACAGTGAAACCTGTCTAATATTTTGTCCAAAATATTTGAAAATAAAAATATGCCAGAGTACAGTACCAACAAACCCAGTCCGGCCCGCGAAGTGAAAGTGACGTGTCTTTCTGATGAGATCTTAAAACAGATCTTCTATCGCAGAAAGCATTTTCACGGTAAAGAATCATTACTACCAACATGTAATTACAAAAGGTGATAGTATAGATCTAAATTTAAAGCCCTTCACCGGTACGAGATGACCTCTCTTTATGATTAAAAAATAACCAATTGTATTACAAAAGCAAGATTGAATCTATCTATCTATCAGTACAAATCTTCTTCTCAAAATCTGCATGATAGAAGAGCTTCTATCTATTCCATCTGACTGTATAAAAATTGTTAATTGATACTCTCTGTTAGGATAAAATGTATGTAGATAACGAACAGTATTCAAGATAAAAAATCCAGATCATAAATTATAATAGAAGCAGAGTAAACACGGACCTCAAAAACATCAGAGGCAGATACCATGGAGTAGTGAGTGTCTTAGTTAGGAGTGAGATCCCCCTATTTAATTTATAAACGCTTCCTACTGAGGCTACTCCCTTGGATAGCTGAGAATGCTTTGTAGGACGGACACAGCTAAGAAAATCCAGATAACAATTTCTAGGAATGGTCTGAGACAACTTTCTTTCAAGTTAATTCTTCTTTGTAGTGAACCACGGTATTAATTAGATTTAATTATAGTGCAATATAGAAATCCCTAGCTATTTAGTTTTTCCGGACAAAATGAAAACGTCAGTTAATCAAAAATGTACAATTTAAAATACTACATTCTAATTTACTTACATATTAGGACATGATGATTCAGCAAGATAGCAATTGTGCTGTGCATTGATGCTTTGACACGCAGAATCTAAATGATGATGAATAATTTAATGAAAAAATACATTTGATAAATCAAATTCAATACAAACAACAGAATGGCAATTTTAATTTTAAAAAAAGAAACATTTTTATATCATGATATAGTTGAGTATCTTACATTGGTATATTTCATTGCTTCGATATTCCTTTTCAGGACAACCTGAAAAAAATCCAAGGCAGTTGTTCCAGTAAAGATTTTCTCCATCGGTTTCCAAGCAGTTGCCTATTCAAGTATATATTTATGCATACGTATAAGAACTAAAATATATATATATGTCAAAGAAAACTTTCTAAGATGCTTCAATTTTTATTTGAAACTTGAACCATAAAAAATAAGTGTTTTAGGTTAAATTTCTTTTATTACTCACCTCTTTTTATTAACCCCATGATTCCATTGTAACATAGTTCTATAAGTCCAGTTTTGTCTGTGTTAGGGACACAGAGATACTGATTGTTCCCATACTTGTCCTGACCACACCCCAGCCTGGAGGAGGACTCTAATACCTCTGTAATGTTCTGGGGACACGAATCCACATATATGTCCATTTCTCCTGGAAAAATATTAAAAATTGTAATAACAAAATAAAGAAAATCCCAAACAATATATTACACTGTTGTCACTTAGCTAAAAGTGGGGAATCCTTTCCTATATTCATATCATTGTATCAGATGATTGTATCTTTTTGAAACATTGTAAAAAATAGATATATCTTTGAATCCGGATTGTAGATTCGATGGGAAGGAGCGAGAGGTAGATGTGTAGTTGGGCTTATACAATCCTCAAGCACCAGTGTCTCGGCCAAATATAAAATGGCTTCAATGTTTTCATTTTGTAAATTGTATGTTAGAGACATGTTTTACAAAAAATATAAAATGAAAAACATTTTCTACTTGTTAAATCGTGTAAGATTAAGTAAAGCCAATTTTTATGAACTTAAAACGAAAGTAGATATATTACTAAAGTAGCAGATTTAGATATGTAATTATTATGTAATCTATAAGTAAGACATTTTATTAAAATTACCTTACAAAATCACACTTCTGCCACTAAACCTCGGATATAGCCTTTCATTGTTCCACAAAAGACGAGTGATTCCTTCCCCTGACGTTCAATGTGTCCAAAGTAACCTTCACCTGGTTTAGATATTCGGGTTACTGTCTTTGTAAATAGCACAATTAGCTGTTCTCTTATATATAGAATATATTTAAATCCGTTCTGCTGTATTGAACCATGACAGACATATGAAAGGCAATAAACAAATGAATAAATCAATAAACCCATTTCAGTCAGATAAAGATGATACTTTTTGATCTAAATATGCCATCTTATTCGCCAAACATGATGGCCTGAATGGCATAAGAAATTTTGATGGGAAAGAAAGAAAAAAATGAATTAATAGAGGCTTTAAAAAACGTATTTCTGTAAGAAAAATAGAGTTAGCTTTACCTCAGTAATTAGTATACATGTTACAATATTGAACTAATACTTGGTTGAATAATTAAGGAATCTGGGAGAGTTATATACTGTAAAAGTGGTTATTTACGCGTGCGGGAAATTTACGCTACTTACGCGGTAAGCTAAAAACCGCGTAAATACCCCCGCGCGTATGGTCGCAAAATTTCAATCTTCTGGAATAATTCTAGAATATTACTTATACTGTTAGAAGGGTTGAACCAGTCGTATATTTATCGTGGTATTGAAGCACGTGAATAGATAAATATATCACAAACTGTGATGAAAACTTAACTGTTTATTATGTTACATGTGCGATGAAAAACGCATCTTCAGATTTAATATTTTAAAGCAACGTCACGCAATGCGTTGTATTAAAGCTTCATAGCATCAATATTCATTTTCATTTTCTTTGTATTCTTTTATTTTTTTTCTTAATTTCAAATGATTAGTCCAAAATGTTAGATAAACTCACAGTCACTACAATCATACCTATTAAAATAATTGTCAAAACTCGTGTGTGCGCATGCGTGAGATAAAGCGGTAGTCTTAAAAAAGGCTACGAATATTTTTTAACTTTTTTCGTTATTTAATCGTTTTTAGGCAGTTTTAAGGCAGTGAAATATTGGGATTTTGTGTCCTAAATCTATCGGAAGGATGATGTTCGGGAATGGAGCCTGGAACCGTGATGAAGAAGACAAAGAAAAGAAAGAATAAGAATGTAAACATCAGTGGTGAGAGTGAACAGAAAATTCGTGTGAATACTAATCAAGCTTCAATACCAAGAATCCATAGTATGGATCCTCAAAATGCTCAAATCAATGCAAGTATGTGCAAACCCGCCATTAATATGCAACACTCAACACCTAATGCAAGTTCAAATTATCAAGGAAACGGTCAAATCAATCAGTTCAACCCGTATGGGCCCCCAGGTCCTCAAGGTCAGTTCGCTGGTTTTGTTTCACCAATAGCCAGTCAACCGAATCAACAACAATTCTATATACGTGACTCTCTGAAAGCTATGACAGATAAATTGGAAAACATGTCAAACAAACTGAACAAACTCGACCTAATTGACAAAAGATTAGGGGAATTAAAAAAAAATGTGGTAAACACAAACGATTAGATGAGGAAAATGAAAGCTAAAATGGGTGACATGGACGAGGGCCTGCATTTCTTAAGCAAACAATATGAAGCTCAACGCAGCGAAGTTAAAGAAATAAAAGAATCTGTGGTCCAGATCAGGAAAAGATCAGAGGTCATACTTAATGAGAATAAGACTGTAATATCTGAGCTCCAGACAGTGAAAAACAATTTATTTGACCTGAATGAACGACACCTAGATCTTCAAATGCGCACAATGCGGAATAACCTTATCTTTGACGGAATCCCAGAAGCTCAAGAAGAAGATACAGAGGCAGTTTTGAAAGAATTTATTCACATTGTAATGGGAATCGAGGAGGAAATCCAGTTCCACAGAGTACACAGACTTGGGAGGAAAATTCCAAATAAACACCGCCCAATTATAGCAAAAATTGTGTTATTTAAAGAACGCGAGAGAGTAAGAAGAGAGGCACCCACCACATTAGTCGGAAAACCATTTGGGGTCAATGAACAATTTCCAAAGGCTATAAATGACAGAAGAAATCTACTTTAACCACATTATAAACAAGCAAAGCGACAAAACAGGAAAGCGGTGATGGTCGCGGATAAGCTTTTTGTCGATAACGTTAGAGTCTATCCATCAGACCCACTGCCCGATGAAAGACCGGTACCAAACCGTAGCCAGTATGCACCCGCCATCCCCATGGAATCCTCTTCAACATACAGATCAACTCTGTGCCTGAACGTCACGCCGCCCACCGCCAACAAACCAGAATTACGCGTTGCGAACCCGGAAGACTAGGAATACCATAGAGAGCAAAACACCGGATGTGTAAACATTGTAAATACTGACAACGACTCTCTCACCTCTCCAGCAATAAGAAGTAATTCAGAATTAAAAATTGTTAGTTTGAATGTTTGTGGGCTGTTATCTAAACTTCAAATTGTAGAATTTATTGAATTCATCAACCAGTATGATATTGTTTGTCTAACAGAAGCAAAATCTGATGAAGCGGACATTATCGATATTCCCAATTTTACAGTATTTAGTAAACATATGTCAAAATTAGCAATACGGAAATCGGGTGGGATTATAGTATATATTCGAGATACTCTAGCTAAATATGCTTCTGTTATTAATAACTAATGTGAAAATGTACTGTGGATTAAAATTGCAAGTAAAAAAATGGGTAACAGAGATGATTCGATCATAGGAACTGTTTATATACCACCCTCAAATTCTCGCTTTTCCTCGGTTGAAATTTTTGATGCACTTGAAAGAGAAATATCAAACAAAGCAATTGAAAATAAATGTATATGCTTAGTTGGTGATTTCAATAGTAGAGTGTCAACTGGTAAAGATTTTTTAAAATATTTAGAAACTGTAACCCCTGTTATTGGTGAAAATATTTTACTTGAAGAGTATGTTGATGTAAACCAATTGGAAAAATACAATTTTACTGTCGAGAGAAAATCTAAAGATATAGTTATTAATCAATATGGAAGAAGACTCCTAGATGTTTGTAAACAGTGTAATATTTTTTTACTTAATGGTAGATCAAGAGGTGATAGTGATGGTGAATTAACTTGTAAACAAACAAGTGTTGTGCATTATTGTATAGCCAATATTGATTTTATAAAATATGTGTCAGATTTCAAGGTACTATAATTTTGCACACTTTTTTCAGATGTGCATAATCCTATTGAAGTTTCATTAATGCTTAGAAATGAACATTTTATAGGGTGTAGAACTGATGATCAACCTCCTGGCCCTTGTTATGTAGTTGCTAAAAACTGGGATATTGATAAAAAGTTGAACTACCAAACATGTGTTGAAAAAAGGGTGAATGTAGTAAAAGTCCTTGAAAATGATATAAAAAACTGTGCAGTTGAAGATACTAATTTGGAGTTTATTGATAATGTTGTAGACAGGGTTGGTGAAATCTTTGTAGAAAGTGCTAAAGAAGTATTTGGCACAAAACAAATTTATACAAACTGTAACAAAGAAATCAAAAATTGTAAAGTTAATAAACCTTGGTTTACAGCTGATTGTAAATGTGCCAGGCAAAACTATAGAAAAGCAAAGAGATTGTATAAAAAAGTTTGAGGTTCTATTTTCAAAACAAACTTGTATGGAAAAGAAAAATTGTATAATCAGAAATTAAAGCTTGCAAATAGTAAACGTAGATCAGAAATGAAAAAGAAACTAAGATACCTACGTACTTTAAACCCTAAAGAATATTGGAAAATTTTAAATACAAATATAAATAAGCAAAGATGTATGGCTGACCTAAACGATCTTTATAATTTTTATAAAGACTGTAGCAATATGCAATTCAATGAATCAAACGAGAACTATGTTTTGAATGAGGAAGAACTCCTTTTCGTATCTGATATGCAGTTGAATCACTAAATTAATCAACCAATCACACATGATGAAGTTCTTAAAAGTATTAAATTATTGAAAAATAATAAATCTAGTGGTGATGACAGAATTGTAAATGAGTACATCAAGAGTACATCTGACTGTTTACTGAACTTGTATGTAGAGCTATTTAATAGAATATTTGATTCTGGAATAATTCCCTCACAATGGACTAATGGCAATATAATCCCAAAATATAAAAATAAAGATGATAAATCTGATCCTAAAAACTACAGACCAATTACATTAATAAGTTGTTTGGGCAAATTGTTTACTTCCATTACGAATGAGAGACTAAATGACTATGCTGATAGAGCTCAACTTATCCTGGAGAACCAAGCTGTAGCTGGTTTTCGAAAAGATTTTTCTACTCTGGATCATATTTTTTCATTATACTCACTTATTGAACTGTTTAAATTATGTAGAAAGAAACTATACTGTGTTTTTATAGATTTCGAGAAAGCCTTTGACTCGGTCTGGCGATTAGGTCTGTGGCATAAAATTTTATTAAACAATATAGATGGCAAATGTTTTAAAATTATAACTAATATGTATAAGGATATTAAATCAAGAGTAGTAGTTAATGGAGTATCATCAGAAATGTTTTCATGCACTGTTGGAGTAAGACAAGGTGAAAATTTATCACCATTTTTATTTGCATTGTATTTAAATGATCTTGAAGGTTTTCTGTTTGACAAAAATGTAAAAGGTTTGAAAAATCTGTCTGAGAAAATTGAAGATAAACTTAATATATATCTGCGGCTTTATGTTTTACTATATGCAGATGATACTATTCCATTATCAGAATCCCCTGAAGATCTCCAGTACCAACTTCAGATATTTGCTGAATACTCTAAAAAATGGCACTTGAAGGTTAATAGTGCGAAAACAAAAATTGTTCTATTTGGTAAAGGTAAAAGATGTAATAATTATACATTTACATTGTAAGTTTGAGGGTGTTCCATTGGAAATTGTTGAAAATTTTACATACTTAGGAGTAACATTTAGTAAAAGTGGATCTTTTAACTTGAATATTAAAAAATATGAAAAAGCTACAAAAGCAATGTATGGTGTTCTTGGAAAATGTAGAAAACATAATCTTTCAATTGACTGTAAACTAGATACATGTATGTTTGACAAAATAGTGAAACCAATTTTGTTATATGGTTGTGAAATATGGGGATTTTGTAATGTTTCTCTTATAGAGAGACTTCATCTAAACTTTTGTAAGCATAGATTAAATCTCAAGTCTTCCACGCCTAATTTTATGGTGTATGGAGAACTTGGTAGATATCCTATATCTATTAATGTCAAAACTCGTATGATTTCTTTCTGGGCAAAACTTGTGGTATCACTAGGTACTACATGTAAAATGTCATCAAAACTATTATTTGTGTTAAAAAATTATAATATACCATGGTGTAATGCTGTCAAAAATATTTTGAATGAGTGTGGATTGGCTTATGTAAGGCAACAAAACTCTATTAATATTACATGGTTAAAGAATAAGGTGCAAAATATTCTTGTAGATCAATTTAAACAATTGTGGTATAGTGATATGTATAATTCACCAAAAGTCTTAATTATAGATTGTTTAAAAAGTCATTAACTTTTGAGAAATACTTGTTAAATTTACCTCCTAAACTTTCTATGAAATATTATATTTTTAGAACTGGAAATGCTAAGCTTCCTATTGAAACAGGTAGATGGTATAATATTGTAAGAGAAAACAGAATTTGTCACTTGTGTTCATGCAAGGAAATAGGAGATGAATTTCATTATTTATTTAAATGCACTGACCCATACATTAAGAATTCTAGATTAAATTTTTTGCCCAAGTACTATTATACAAATCCTAATGTTTTTAAGTTTGACCCACTATTTAATTTGAACAGCAGGGAAAAATTAATTAAGTTATGTAAATTCATTGGAACTATAATGGAGAGAGTCGGCTCTCTTGGTCTGTGACATTGTCATTTTTTTTTCCAATGTAGTTGTTGTTTTCTTTTTTTCCTTTTTCTTTGTCTCACGCATGCTTAATTAATCAATTGTTAATATTTTATGTAATATCCTCTCTATACTGTTTTGTACAGTTTATGAGAATAAAGTCTTGTCTTGTCTTGACACGCTGATACAGGTTAGTAGATCTTACTTTGAAGATTGAGCTTGTGTTAATAATTACAATAAATCGTACACCAGTTGTTCACACTTCACCGCATTTAACTGTACACATATTTACCAATCCATCAGTATCAATTCTTATTGATTTGTTTAGTTTGTTTGTGATTATTTTTTCTTATCATTTTCAAAGGGGAACAACCCGATGTTAGTTACGACATCGATGGCCGCGTAAATTTTTCTCGGTAGCTCGTGCGACCGCTTATATTATACCCACGCGTAATGTTTGACAGTCAAAAACGTGTACTTAACAACCATTGTAAATAACCATTTTTTAAGTAATGCTCTACAACATGGCGGCCATGGGGAATAACTCATCCTTGAATTAGCTCAATAAAAAACTATTGCTACAAGTAGGCAAAAAAGTTGCTTTATTATTTTATGCCAGGTTCTCCCCGTCCGCCTGTGCCCTTCCTCAATACGTCCAACTAATATGTTTGTTTGTACGTCCGCAAAAACTTTAACATCGGCCATAACTTTTGATTTCCTTGACTTCGTTTTTAATTTTTCACACGTTTTCCTTGAGATAAGACCTTTCTTGGGTACTACCAAATTTGAACTCTTGACCTAGCTTTGAATTGAACCATCTTTACAATAAGGCCCTATACAAACTTAATTGTTCTTTGATAATATTCTCATAAATTTAACAATTACTGCATTTTGTATCGAAGATTAGAAATGATATCATTAATGAAAATCTATCACTGGTACTTGTTTGCTTGTACCTCTTTTATCTTTTTCAATGTTTCTGATATTCTGATTATGGATATAGATTCCAGAATTCTATCTTAAAAACAATACAGACGACTAAATAAACATTACTCTAGACTGCAATGTATTGAATGCATGTCTTTAAATGCAGGAAAACACACACCATTTGTATTTAAAACCACCGGAGGAGAAAAAAGCTTTTGTGTCCCAAACTGCAATTTCAAACAGAACTGCGTAAA